CCCTTTCCACACGGATTTGCTGCCCCCCCCCCCCCCCTCTTCAACGCATCGCCGCGGCAGTCTAGCAACTCACGAAGCCTCTCTCAGCTCCCTTTCCACCGCATGCCACAGCACATCCACATCCGTCAACTTGCCGCTCTTGCGCTGCGCCACTGCCTCGCCCAGCGCCAGGCGCACCACGTTGCGCAGGCGCTTCTTCATGGCCGTGCGTTGCGCCTGCGTGGGCGGTGCTGCTCGTGCCATGCGCGAAGAGGGGAGAGTGAGATCGCCGAGGGTCAGTGAGACATCGGCGATCGTTGCCGGCGCAGCCGCGGCTTTGGCACGCTTCTTCTTCGCTTGCGCTTGCGTTTGCGCCTCTTGGCGCTGCTGCTGTTGCTGCTTTGCCGCACTGCTTGAGGCCTTGCCACCCGACGACGACACGCGCGCATCGCTGCGCCCCGGACTGCTCTGTCGTTTGCGCTTGCGCTGCTCCATGCTCTTCTCCGCCCGTCTCGAGGCGGGCGAGATGCCTGCCGTCGTCGAGGCCAGACTGACGCCGCCGGGCGAGTCAAGGGAAGGCATTTCGTCGAGCGTGGCAAAGATGGGCTCTTCCTCCGAAAGATCACTGCGTTCTGCTGCCTCGTCTGCGGCTGCGCGTGCGGAAGAGGTAGAGCCTGCGCTTGAAGTGGAGGCACGCGCACGATAGGGAGTGGAAGATGTGGGTCCGGCGAGAGAGCTCGAGGCACTGCTGCTGCCGCCAATGCTAGCCTCTGCAGCGGCAGAAGAGCCGCGCGGCGCAAAGGAGACGCGTCCACGACTGATGCTGACGTTGTCGAGCCGAGAGGAAGAGCCGGCTCGGAGCGCCGAGCGCAGAGGCGCAGCGGAGGCGGCGAGGCTGGTCGACGGCGTACGTGCGGGAGTGGCGGCCGCGAGAGACTTGCGCGCACGGCCGCCGCCGCGAGGAGTGCCTGCGCCACGACGAGAGACGCTGCCGCTACCACCACCACTGCTGCTGTTGCTGCTGCTGCCAGCTGGAGGCGCCGCCGGCGCAGCTGCTCCGCCAGCGCCGAAGAAGGAGAAGGGCCGAGCGACGACTGCGGGCTGCGTGCTGTGCGAGTAGACGCACATCCACCAAGACACGAGAGTCAGATGAAGCTGATGCAATGCGCGCTTGCCTGCCCCGTCGAAGTCCCTCTTGCTGCGCTCTGCCCCTGGCGCTGCGCCCCCGTTCGCCCTGCCGCGGCCGACTCACCCAGCGCCACGCATGCGCTCCTGCCTGCGCTCCTGGAAGCGGTGAGCGGCTGCGCCCTGCGCTGCTGCTGCGCCCGAAGGCGCTGCGCCGCCGCCGGGACGAGAGGCCATGGCTGGTGAGGGCTGCGCTGTGTGGGTAGGAGGATGGCCGGGCAGAGTGCGGAGATGGGAGGATGGGATGCGAGAGGGCAAAGGTGGAGAGCGATGCGGCGCGGCGCGTCCGAGGCACGACGCGACTTGGCGCGGCGTGTTGATCTGGGCCGTGTGCGTGGGAACAGCTGCCGAGGCGCGCGCCGTCGCCCGCACGCCGCCGGACGGCGCCCAGCATCTGCTGCGACTGCTGCATGCGGCAGACACAAGCCTGGCCTCGGAGGCCTGAAGGGGCCCTCTTGATGCCGCAGCCTCGGCCGCCGCCTGGCGACGAGTCAGCAGCGCAGCGCCGGCGCGCCCGGCGATGCCAACGGCTTGCTCGGCAGGCGGGCGGCGCGGCTGCGCTCCTCTCTGCTCCGCACCGCACCCCACTCTGACTCGCCCCCACGCCCGCGGGCGCTGTAGAGCATCGTCATGTCCAGCAGCAGTCCTCGCCTGCGTCCTCCCATTCACACTCTCCAAGTCTGGCTCGACGTGCACGACGCCGCGCGCGATGCGCTGCGCTCCACTGGCTCGCTCCCGCTGCTTCGCGGACGCCAGCTGCCCTTTGCGGCCCTCAAGACCGAGTATCTCTATCTGCGCGACGCCGCCGTCGAGAACAGCGGCGCATGGCGCACCTACAGCGAGGGCGCCGAGCTCGATGCGGCGCAGACTGCGTCGCATGCCGCACTGCAGGAGCTCCATCTGCAGAGCCGCCGCTCCGGCTTCGCCGCAAGCGAGACGGCAGAGGCGTCGCTCGAGCTCTACCGCAACAAGCTCAACGCGCCAGTTGCCGCCAGCACCACCGTGGCAGAGATGGCACTCGTGCCGCTGGCCTTCTTCTGCGGCATCGACGTGCGCTACGAAGGCGACCGGCACGGCGCTGGGCCCTCTCAGCCTCGCCTGGGCCCTGCCGCACCCACGTCCGCCGCGCGGCCATTGCTCTTCGGCAGCGGCAGCGCCGACGCTGCGGGCCTGCTCGACGGCGCTCGCTTCTGCGTGGGCTTCGGCGAGGAGGAGCACGTGCAAGGCCACGTGCTGGGAGAGAATGAGGTCAATGCAGAGGCAGATGCTGCGCTGCTGCGCTGCTCGCTCTCCGACATTGCGCGCCAGAGCGAGACGGCGGACGCGAGCGGCAAGAGGCGCAGCGCCTCGCACTGGACGCTCCGGCTGACTCTGGCAGAGCTGTCGAAGCTTCAGGTCGCGTGGGAGCGTGCAGCCGAGCACGTGGTGGCCGCCGATGAGAGACAGCATTCGGAGGACACCGGCGGCTTTGCCCTTGCCTCTCTGCGCGCCAAGCTGCCCCGCCTGCGTGGCTTCGACCAGCCCAACTCGAAGCTGCGTAGCGTTCTCCCCGGCTTCACCCGTGATGCAGACTGCTGGGGAGCGAATGCGTGTCCCTTCACGGGCGCTCATGTGCGACGGTGCGAGGCGACGCACATCGTCGCGCGTCCGGTCGGCACCCTCATCGCCGGCGCGCACAGCGCACTGGCGCGGCCGTACCGTGCTCGAGCAGCTGTCGACCTTCGACGGCTCGGCCTGCTCGACAGGCGTCTCTTCGAGTGTGCACCGATGGCGGACTGGCCTCCTGAAAGCACAGGTTCGCCTGACAATGGCTTCTGGCTCTCGGCAGATCTTTACGCTCTGTACAAGTCGCACGCGGTCGTCATCACTCCCTCGGCACGTCTTTTGCACAGTGAGGACTGGGCACGCCGCATGTCCGACCAAGGCTTGCCCTACACTAACTGGCGTCCACCTCTCTCTCTCTCTCTCCAGTCACGATGCCCGGAGCAGACAACGTCTTCCCCACCGTTCAACTTCACGGGCACACACGCAGCGCCCGCGAGCGCGACATAGGCTGGGAGCGCGCGTTCGCAGACGACCTGGGTGCCGTCAAGATGCGCAATGTGCATCTCGCCTACTACGCCACGCTCCTCTCCGTCTTTGCCGGCGAGCCTCTGCGCAGGTTGATCGAGGACTCGCTGCAGCAGCACTTGCCACCGACGCCGGCTTCGAAGCCGTCGACTGCGGACGACAGGAGCAACAAGCGCCCGCGCAATGAGCCGCGCGAGGAGATGGCACATGCTCGTCGCGTGCGCTTTCAGCAGCAAGACGCCGACGACGAGGGGCACAGGTCGCAGCAGGCGGACGACTCTTACTCCGACGACGACTTGGACGTCTCCTCGTCGCAGACCTCGATGCTGGACATCACGCAGCTGAACTACTGCGGCTTCCTGCATGAGAGCGGCGCGAAGCAGGCCGAGATGGCGGAGGCGCTGGACATGAGCGCCAACGAGCTGGCGCGCGTACTGTGGCAACTGCAAGAGGAGCAGGTGCAGGTGCAGAATGAGGGCGTGTATCGCGCTTGCATGGCCGTCTTGGCGGGACATCTCTTGGACTTGAAGCTGAGCCGCGAGCATGGCTGAGATCTGCGCCCGGATGCGGGAGCCGCGCCACGAGGAGAAAGGGG